TTACTTTTGAAAGAGTTATCGCTATTTTTGTGATTTTTCCTTAATTTATGATAACCAGTGTATATATATAGTTCAAAATGAAGATAAAACAAAGGAAAATTGTAGACATATGAAAAAGGAGGGGAAAATAATAATTAAAAAAATAACAAACAACTGATTGAAAAAAAAGGTGATTTGTTTTTTGTTTTTCTTTTAAAAACCGGAAAAGAAAAAAAATATAATCTTTTCATCAGCCCACACGATTATATTCGCAAAAAAGAGTGCTTTCTGATATTGTATCAATGTAGCCAAAGCAAAATACATTAATACAATACTGAGGGGAACACTCAAAAAAAATTTTTACCAAAATTACAACAAATAAAATAGAACACAATGAGTTAAAATAACACGTAAAAACAGAAAATAAAAGAAAAAACAGTATAAAACAAAAACAATAAAGAGAGTAGTGAAATCAGATGAACTTACATGAACGGGAAATTTTTCAAGAATGATTTAAAAATATTTTCGAAACAAGATTGCCAGATTACAAAGTATGAAAACAAGAGCGCAAATTGAGTGTAACTAGAGGGGTTTTGTTTTTAAGTGCCGTTCTTACTGCATTGCTGAAGTGATTTGTTACGCTGTGCATTAATTTGCTAGTTACCAAGGATGGGCCCGAAATGGATGTGCGCAAGGTAATATTATACTGGATAATTTAAAAAAGTTGACCATAAATAATTTTAGAAAATAAATATTTATTTAAGAAAAAATGTAAAATGGAAAAAAGAAACATAAATTGCCTGTTTTGCAAATAATTTTAGCCACGGATCTGCCCGAAATGGATTTGCACATGGAAAAATTATATAGATTAACAAAGGAAATTTTTTAGTAAAGGAATTTTTTAGTAAATAATTTATTCCACGGATTTGCACATGGAAAAATCATACAAAATAACAAATAAATTATTTAGTAAATAATTTTGGAAACGGATTTACCCGAAATGGATTTGCACATGGGAAAATTATATAAATTAATAAAGAAAATGTTTGGTAAATATATCCACAAAAATATACGATTAATTCAATGATTTTATGTAAAATTTTATAACTTTAGTTGTGTATTCATCGTTTTTTTATCAAATTTTGAAAGAGTTTATCGATTTGCTTTTTGGATAAATAATTATTGCTACATATTCTTTTAATTCTGTTCATTTCATTGAAAGTGGTATTTAAATAGATGCTCCTAGAAACATTAGAATTCCATGTAATTAGTTTATTAATATTAAAATTAAAATCATTTCTTTTATCGTATAAATCAACAAAGCAGATATTTTCAACTTTTATAGTACCCAAATCCAAAAAATTGAAATTAATATTATCATCATGATTACGAAGTAAGATTAATTCCTCAGGGTAAATATCATTCAATAAAATCGTAAAATCTTGAAAATTAAAGATAATTAAGTCATCAATATATCTAAAAGCAAATTTAATATTAAGAGTATAATTTCTTTCATGATAATGCAAAAATAAGTCAGCTAAGAGAGATGAATAATTAGATCCTTGTGGTATTCCATCAATTTGAAGAAAAATGTCCTTTCCATTGTAAAGATAATTATAAAAAAGATTTAAAAATTAATCAGAATTTCCCAATAATCAAAATCGCAACAATATATATATATATATATATATATATATATATATATATATATATATATATATATATATATATATATATATATATATATATATATATATATATATATATATATATATATATATATATATATATATATATATATATATATATATATATATATATATATATATATATATATATATATATATATATATATATATATATATATATATATATATATATATATATATATATATATATATATATATATATATATATATATATATATATATATATATATATATATATATATATATATATATATATATATATATATATATATATATATATATATATATATATATATATATATATATATATATATATATATATATATATATATATATATATATATATATATATATATATATATATATATATATATATATATATATATATATATATATATATATATATATATATATATATATATATATATATATATATATATATATATATATATATATATATATATATATATATATATATATATATATATATATATATATATATATATATATATATATATATATATATATATATATATATATATATATATATATATATATATATATATATATATATATATATATATATATATATATATATATATATATATATATATATATATATATATATATATATATATATATATATATATATATATATATATATATATATATATATATATATATATATATATATATATATATATATATATATATATATATATATATATATATATATATATATATATATATATATATATATATATATATATATATATATATATATATATATATATATATATATATATATATATATATATATATATATATATATATATATATATATATATATATATATATATATATATATATATATATATATATATATATATATATATATATATATATATATATATATATATATATATATATATATATATATATATATATATATATATATATATATATATATATATATATATATATATATATATATATATATATATATATATATATATATATATATATATATATATATATATATATATATATATATATATATATATATATATATATATATATATATATATATATATATATATATATATATATATATATATATATATATATATATATATATATATATATATATATATATATATATATATATATATATATATATATATATATATATATATATATATATATATATATATATATATATATATATATATATATATATATATATATATATATATATATATATATATATATATATATATATATATATATATATATATATATATATATATATATATATATATATATATATATATATATATATATATATATATATATATATATATATATATATATATATATATATATATATATATATATATATATATANTATATATATATATATATATATATAATATAACTATCTTTATTATTATTATAAACTAACTATGGTCTATATTTGTTCTATTTAGTGTATTTTTTATTATGCAAGCAGCGGTGAATAAAATGAGTTAAATTGCAGAGCTGTCGCTAGCGGCGAGATCCTAAGTAAAATGTTCTGCGGCACGTTTAATTTTTTTTTAAATTTTTTAAAATTTTTATCTAGGACCTCTAGGAAAATGGATTACTTAGAATCCTGTTATATATTTAAGAAAAAAATTTTGAAAAAAAAAAACATGATGAAATTGAATGAATAAGAAGAAAATCTAAGTATAAGAACTAAGTTCCAAAGAATGGACAGATTAATTTTTTTTGTATTTATTATTATTTTTAGTTTTATTTTAAATTTTAGGAATATCGTTTAATTTTTATGAATGATATTAAGTATGGAAGATTTAGAAGAGTCCTGTTTAATATCATGAAAAAATTTTGAAATATATCTTACTTTATGAATTTAATTTCTAATTAATATATACTGTTTTTGGGAGCTATACCTAGGTTATTACATATATGCTTGCAATTGAAAGCAAAGTTATAAATATTCAATGTCAAATTTTTTTTTTAAAACTAGTCAAAGCTTTAATAATTATTACAAAAAATTATTTTACTTTATGTAAAAAATTATTTTACTTTACTCCCTAAAGTTTTAGAAATTCGGGTCTTTGCCGAAGAACCCTATTGCCCCTCGCATGCGACGTTTATGTATGATATCTCAAAATAAATAAATCGATAATGTAATATTTTGGTTACCATTTTTTTTCTTCTTTTTGCAAATTGCTTTCAGCGAAATTTAACGCTTTTTGTCGCAGAAAATTAATTGATAACGAAATAATTTGACTACTACTTTTCTTCTTCTTTCTTTTTTTTAAAAATCTTTTTACACTGTTAGCCATCTGCCAAATATTACGCTTTTTGTGGTAAAAAATAAATTTATTATTTAATATTTTTGCTTCTACTTTTTTTCTTCTAGCAATGATTGTCAGCTGTCAAATTTCTCAATATTAGGTAGAAAGTAAGATCTAAAATTTATCCTCATCACTTTTTTATCAGTCATACAGCTATCATAAATTAAATTTATTATGCAGTGAATAATGAAGCATAAATTTTGTTATCAATGGAACAAAAACTTTTCACATGCAAAAATATGACATATATGACACGACATATATGACTAATCTCATTAAAGTGCATGTATATTTTTAAGCTCATTAACTAGGTTAATTAATCCGAAGTTATAAGTAAAAATAATATGGGAACATATTTTTATAAACTTTTGAATACATTACCTTGCATGGAATGAATATTTAGAGTAATGAAGATTTCATAATTATAAATTACGTTAGAAAATGTAATAATTATGTAGAGTTACATAATGATTATGATGACTACTGTGATCTAGTTTATTTAATAATTGATTCCATTCTTCTTTTTTGCTATTTCATTTGTCTGTCTGACAGACAAGCGATTGAAAATGACACTTCTTTCACACATACAATTATAATTTGCGTGCGAGAATAACTGATGAAAAAATAAAACTAGAGTACAATTTAATAGTAAGTTAACGGTATTAAAAAACACATAACGATTTTTTAATTCATTTATATTCAGAAACCATAATTGTTACGTTTCCCCTGGAGAAAAAAGAATCAATATTGGTATCGACAACGCAAACGATTTTTTTCCCTTACCGCCAAACGATTTTTGAATTTTTATATTTTGAAGCTCTAACTGTTACATTTCCTTGCGTTAAGAGAAGCGCCGGCATTAAGATGTATTAATGGGATATTTATTAACATATAGAAAAGGTAAATGTCGCAGGTGACCTTCCCCTTGACATTCGCCTGCAGTGTGTTTACAGCAGGAGTGCATCCGGTTCTACCTGTCCGATCTTCATCTCGGTCACAGCCTGGGGGTCGTATCATTTGCCGTAATTGAAGCTTGCTTAAGCAGAACGGGCAAAAAAGGAGGGCAAAAAGCGACTCGGACTCTTCAAGATGCCGATGCTCTTCTTCTCTACCGAAGAAACACTCTTTTGACGGCATCACTCAGTTACTGATCATCATTCTCTCTTCAGAAATTCCGATTGTCACAATCATTCACCATGAGGAGGTAAATAATCTTCATTTTATCATCTGCATTGTATATTTGTTAAATTCGATCCATTACTTAAAGGAGAAAGTGAATAAATGACTAGTGTTTAATCATCAAAAATGTTTATATCTTTTGAATGGATGGAGTTACTGTAATGTTTATTAAATTTGATTATACTCTAATTTATAATTTAGTTAAGTTTTTATATTAGCGCTCAGACTTTGAGGGGTTCTTTAATTAATTTTTTTTCTGTGGTGTTCTAAGGAAATGAATCACTTATTATCCGATTTTTGCTCGAATATTATTGATAAAAATACGGTTTTCTCTTTCGAATTGCATTCCAAAAAAACCATTCCATTTTTCTTTTTACTTTTTTCTTCCTCCAATTTTATACAATAATTTAATTTTTATATACACAACACTAGTTGTCCTTTGAAGTAAAAAAATTGTGTTTAAGAGTACCGTTTAATCATCATCTAAAGAAGTTGAATTAATTTTATTTTTTTAACTCCACAATTTTGATTTATAAGAAATTTTCTTTTTATTTGTTTCTTTCTTGTTTGGAGGTGCTAGGAAGTCTGTATCTACTGCTTTCTTTTTACTTCATCAATATTATTAAAATAGGTAAAAAAATGTTTCAGTACTAAAATACTTTTTTGATCAATACAAGACATCGATCCCTGTAAAGAAAAAATTCTTTTATGCTACTGAATTGGGATTTTTATGTGTTAGAATTAGACTTTAATTAGTTATGCTTAAAAATGTAAAGGGTGTGTTCAAAACTTCCCTCGCAGTCATGACAAATTCATTGAATAAACTTACAATTCCAAATTCTTACAAGATGTATGTTTTAAAATTTTCCATCTGATATATGTGACTATGTATTTAATTGTGAGGGTACCAGCAAATATTTTTTATAGGGTGCAACCAGGAAAAATATTTATGAAAGTACATCGAAAATCATGTACAAATATTATAATTTCAAAAATTTATAAAAGTAATGCTCTTTTTAAACTATTTAACTTTACTGCGTAATGAGCATTATAAAAACGAGTTCTAGTGTTTTATATAATTTTTAAATTTACTAAAAAAATATGGAAAAACTTATTAAGAATTAATAATGAATTTTAAAATACAAATTTTACTTCCAGTTTATGATTTGAAATCGATTTAATATGACAAGCAATAATATTTATAATTATTAAAAATTAATACCAGTTAAAATCAAAATATATTCTTAAATTTATTGACATTCAAGGGGTTGCAAGTGTTCACTCTGTGCCCTCCTTGCCGGCACCTTTGTTGAGTCTTTTTGCTTTTAGTCAACTGTAATACTTTTGCCTTACTTGATAAGTCATATATTGCTTTAACCAAAATAATTGCTTTAAACTTTTATGGGGACTTGAAACTTATAGTTTAAATCAATATGTTTAAAAAAAAATTACAAGAAACGTAAAATTATACTCAAAGCAGAGCAGGCTAATTTCTATCAAATTTTTAGAGTGCTATCAATCAAATTTTCACGGCGAATATCAATTACATTTTAACGGTGGCCTTAACCATGGTGGAAATTGTTACATTGAGAACCTTAAAAAAATGGATTTATGTTTTGGTATAAATATAATTCTTCATATTACAATCTGCATGTAGGGCTTAAGGTCAAATGTTCAATAAATTTTTCTTATACAATTTAACGTATATTGAGAAGAAAAAGTTTAAGAAAAATTCCTTTTAATTGCATACATTTTTAAACATAAATTGCTATATGCTAACAAAAGATCTGCTTATAGATCTATCGTTGTAAGGTTGCTTTAAAAATGATATTCCAATAATAAAAAATAAATAAATAAATAAATAAAACAACTTTAAGTATTCTACTAATTACTTGTGCCGCCATTATATCCTTATACAAAAAGAGATAGGTAATATGAAATATTAAAAGGTAAATTACTGTAAATGTAGATTAATCAGAAGCCATCTTTATTTTTGTGTTAAAATTTAGGGCTTTTTAACTACTTTTTTTTTAGACAATTCTGTTAACAAATTAATCCAATTTTATAATCTTGATTTTATGCAGTTACAAAACTTTAAAATTTACGAAAAAAAGATATATATGTTATGGTTAAGGTAATAAATCTGCCTATTATTAATAATTTATGTATATANTGTAGAAAATTATTATATATATATATATATAATAATTGCCAAGTTTTGATTTTACTGAGTCAATGTTAAAATTTCTTTTGAAGATGAGAGCTCTCAAATAAAATAAAACAGTAAACAAAGTACCAATGTACCTGCTTTATATTATAATTCCCATTTTAAAACAATTACTTTTTTATATATTAACATTTATTTTTATACATTGACATTGAACATGTTTTTTCTTCTTCTTTTTTTCTTAAATTTATAGAAAAGATTCCTCAGCAATCGTTTAGAGCCAGTGCTTATGTTCATCAACCTTTAGAAATAATTAATCTCCTACTTGATTTTAGGTCTATGTTCTTTTCTTTTCCCATCATCTTTCTTTTATATAAAAATACGTTTCAAATAATATTCTTTATTTCAAAACTTATTATTTACGTAATTTAATTGAACATTTTTAATCATACACAGGTGTCCAAAAGTTAAGCATAATTCGTAAAATGTGGTAAAATAAACATTGGTTAAATTGTTCAAATTCACTTGCGAAGTATCACTGTTAGTGCATAGACAAAAGATTTCAGTTGGTGTCGGCATAACGAGTATAAAGCCAGTTCTTGTTAACACAACAACTTAGATCAGACAGGCAATGAGAAATTGTTATACCGAGGTGCGGGTTAAACGATCAAAAAGGACGTAGGATGACATAAAAACGCTGAATGGACACGTTTTTCAAAGAAAGAAATATTAGAATGCTGGAACATGGATGATCTCAATCCGAAATCTGAATGTACCTCAATTTGTGATGTGGTGACAATTGCGGAGGTTTGAGAGTAAGAGAGACAGTTACTCTAAAACCAATACCAAGTCCACCAAGAGTAACAACCGGTCGTCACGACTGATATCTGACAAAAACTGCGCGACATCAGAAGGACAATTGTGCCAAAGAACTCAGCTCAGCGCTTATAGCCGTCGCAGAGTATCGTAAAAAACTGTTATACTCAGTCGGCTGGTCTATAATACCAGAAGACCAACCGTTTGCATTCCTCTCAAGCCAGCACATAAAAGCTCTCGTGTAATCTGGAGTTTGGAACATTAGCATTGCAGTTGGCAACTGTGGGCCAATGTGATGTATGATACTCCAAAAGAAAAGAAAAGTGATATTTCCTGAATGACTTATCGGATTGACTAATTATCGGATCTTCACGTAGGATTCAATCTTAACAGTTCAATGGGGTGACCTGGAATATGCTAATTAATTAGTGCTGACGATATTTTAAGTTACGAAACCGCATGCAAAAAAGTACTTTCTCTGAATAAACATACCTTTTTTTGTTGTTGACGGATTTGGATATCAGACCCTCAAAATATTGGGGGTAGTTGCATTCTGGGAAATATGGTCCCAATAGTTTGGTCAGAAGAGTGGTCAAAACTTCAGACCCTTTAATGTTAACTTTACTTTTTGCATATTTCGCCATACCTCGAAGATTTTTTTTCAAGCAAAAAATTTTAGATTATAATTATAACTTGTTCAACCGAAGATAATTCTCTGAAAAAATTATTTTTAATGATTATTTATTATTTTTGATTTAGATTATTATGAGATTTAGATTTTGAATTGAAAGGTACACAAATTTTTACATTATTTCAAAGAATGTACTTTTATTTGTCAAAATGCAAAATTTGAACCGACGAATAGCTGCTGAGAAATTGAATTTTAAAACTATTTTATATGTAAAATGCAATTTCTCAATTCACCCGATTTCGTTCAAATTGACATACAAATTACGTTCTTTGAAACACTGTAAAAATTTGTATATCTTACAATTTAGAATTTTTTGTCATTCATTATATTAAATAGAATAATAATAAATAATTATTAAATATTAATTTTGTATGGAATTATCTTTGAATAAACGAATTTGGAAGGAGTGGGGGAGTTCACCCTCTTTTCTATTTTTAATCTTTTTAATGTATTCTTACATTTTTTCTCAATTTAGACATTTTAACAACACTCATAACAGTTTTTCCACTTTCCTTATCATTTTATTCGCAATCCCTGAGAAAAGCTTAATTCTCGTGAAAAATTTTCTAAAACCACGATTTTTGTCCTCTTTATTTTAATCTTTATGTAAACATAGTCAGGAGTGTGAGTCCCCCCTCTCAATTTATGTTTTTTCTAAATAACAAAAGTAGTGTCCCATCTTCTAAAATGATAATTTTTAAGTGCATTTCTCGTTTTAGATTATGACTTTTAGCATTTCGAAAATAATGAAAAATTTATGTGAAGCAAAAATAATAATCTATCAGTAAAAAAATTGGAAACATAAAAATAGTTTTATTCAACATGTTTAGTACAAAGTTGACCCTTTTTTAAAATTAATATCCTAAGTTTCTAGTTTCCTTTATGGTGATTACACATTCAGATTTATTTTCTTATGGTTAATGTCTGTTTTTTTTCCAGTTCCATAAGAATGATGCTACGTATGTAAACAAAACTATACTTTCTGAGTCACTTAATTAAAATTTTAAGGATTCATAGTTGCTAAGTAATGGAACTATAAATTAGTCAAATATTTTGTATTGTTTGTCAAGTTTATTTAGATTTTATTCCTTTATTTTTGCCATAAAAAGAGCTTAACAAAAATACTTGAGAAAGATAGAAAGGTGTTTACTTATTATTACACATCCTATGTGAACATTGATTTCACATACAATGAATGTTAGGGTAGGAATGACAAACTATAAAAATGACATATGGACAACAGTGAATGTTAGGGTAGGAATGACGAACTTTACAAAATGACATGTGAACATTGATTTCACATACAATGAATGTTATTGTAGGAATGACAATTATTTGCAAAATGACACGC